AGGGGGCGGGGAAGTGGGAGGCACTGCAGCCAATCGCTGCACGGATCCCGCATTACAAATCCCCTAAAAAGGTGGAACTTCCGAAATAAACCCTCGCCCACGACAGGCGGAGCTGCAACAGCAGCCCGGGATTCCTCCCTCCAGCCCAGGCAGAGGATTCAGCTGCGACCGTCGGCTGCAGCACACACATACACACGCACAGCTTCACTATCCCGAGTTGGTTCCCCCCCGTTATAATTACACCCATCTCCACGAACGCTCCAAACCGAACAAAAAGCGTAACATTAATTAAAGTGCTCCCCTTTAAGTTCCCATCTGGATGAAACGCGGAGACAGCCCCAGCACCGAGGCGCACAGCTAGTAGGACCAGCCAGCCCGTCTGCACCGCGCACTCGCTCGGTCGACGCTGGCTGCGGAGTCCACAAACAAAAGGGTTCGCGGCACTAAAACACTCACTCACTCGCGGTTTGTTTTACGTGAGTACCGGTGGACTGGGAGATTCAGTGGGGCCTCGGCGGCCAGCACGGCGGCTTTTGCGGACAGAAAGAGCCGATCCGGTCGTCCTTACTAAACAATGCCAAAGTCAAACGAAACGAGAACTACGGCGGAGCTGTGTGGCAATACCGGAGCCACGCCATTCTCCGCTTCCCCCCCACCCACCCCCTCTCCCGCAGACAGGACCACCGCGCGTATTGCAGCTCTCTTTGTTTACTTCACTAGTCGGGAGTAAAAATGTCTAACCTGTCTCACCACAACAACTACACCCCCTCCCCTCCTTCCCCCTGCCGATCCATTACACGCTCACACAACGCTGCAGACAAAAATGCTTCGACTCGCAGACAGAGGGGATGCCTCAGATGGTGTCCACACAGCCCCGGGAGGCTGTTTACTGGCCGACATAATGCCATCCCGCACATTTAAGCAGCCAACACCTTAAGAAGCTGGCTATTCTGCTGCCGTTTACTCGCGAAACAAGAGCCTCGCAATTCATTTACGCGCACAAAATAATAAGAATGTTAAAAAAAAGCCACCACTGACACCAGACCGCCCTCAGATCCTTCGCAACAATCACACGCATCGTAACGCAGCGACACTCTTGATATTATTTAGTTTAAGCAGCCGTTACATACCCAGTAAAAAGACTCCTTACTCCGGATTCGTGTTTGTAACAAAATAGTTGGACACGCCCCCTCTCCACTGGCATTGGCGCAAACTGGAAGACACGTCACTCTGCGTTTGAATATGACCCGCTAAAAACCGAGGCAGCATCGCAGGGAAACAGCCTCCTCTCCACCACGCGCAAAACCTGCAGTTCCGATACTGGTGGAGGATTACCGAGGGCGGCGGTGGGGGTGTCAAGTTCATTTTACACCGCGGGCCACACGAAGCTCTACCAGTGAAAGTCGGCTTTCTGTCAGTGTGAAGAACTGGACTTAATCACGGAGATATTTGAAGGAAGGAGAAAGAAATGCAGTGTCAACAATTCTCCTCTGGATTTCTGTATGATAAAGAAATGCTGCTTAAACTGTAAGAAATCAATGTGTGAAATTACTGAAAAGTTCTGTAATTGAGCTCATTGCGCAGACTGTTCTGTAATTATAGAGGAAAAAAAATTTGTTTTTGTTTTAATACTGTCTACAATCACAATGCCTTAGTAGACAGTGAAAACAGCAACCTTCCTCTTATTTAATAGTCTATAGCTATATAGTTATTTCTGCACTTTGTAAGCCCCGTATCAATGCTATATAAAGGAAGAGATCATATTGTCTCTACGATTGTATTTGTGGCGAGAAGCTACTTTTTTTTAAGCTATGTTTGCTATTAGTTATTACCAATAAATGCGCAGGGAGAAAATCTGGGTCACTCTGAGGGATCGTTGCTATTTTTGGATAAAAAAAAAAAAGTGTTCAATTGGGTAAAGATTTGGTCACTGCTTAATGATTTTTCATATAGACTTAATAGCCATTCTTTTTAGATACTTGTTCAGAATCTGGTAAATCTCTTTATCAGCGATAGGGGCAGCTCAATGCGTTTAGACATGGTCAAGTTCAAACTGACATAATGGGGAAGAGAAGTGATCTAGGAGACTTTGGACGTGTCATGGATGGACTGGTCCCAGTATTTTAGAAACTGTGGATCTTCTGGGATTTTCTCCATACACATACTAGCAAAGTGTAACTTTATGAGCTTCTTCAATAATGTATTCAGATACTTGACTTGCTTTAAAAAAATAAAATAATTAAGAGTGCTTTTTGAAGCTTCTGATAAATTACAACCGAACTTAAATATCAGTTTGCTCAAGCTTGTGCGATTTGTTGCTCACAATGCAGAGGTCTCAAAAACTCGTGTCAAATGATACATTTGGTATCAGAGGATTATACCATTGATTTATTACAGCAAAAATGCAGCTGGTGGTTCGAGGCTCATCACTCTCTACAAATATGAAACCAGAGAAGTTGGGTAGTGATGGAAAAAAAAAAAATCCCCAGCGCTTATAGGTGGATACAGGCATGGTGAAGAGGTTGAAACAACTTAAGCAGACCAAGAGATTGGAAGAGTTTTGGTGTGAATTGAGGAGAGTGAGGCATGCTGCTGTGCATGATGCAATGCAGGTTGAGTTTTCTGCTTAAACTAGCCTGCAGGTTTTGCTCCAGTTAATGTACAGCAATAACGTTTTTCCTCAAGAAGCTGAGCGCAGTGAACAGGAACCAAGTCAATAAAGTTGCCTTATGGGTTTGACAACAGCAGCATACCATTAAATCTGCTCCGTTGTGCAGCTTTCAAATCGTTATTTAAAATCAGAAAAACTGATTCATGCGCACGATGTGAGAGACATCTTTTATTCCTCGCTTTACTTTTATAATTGTCATGTTTTCATTTATGTCATTGCATTAAGTACAAGACTGAAGCTGCGTTTGGCGACACAATGATACCATATTCAGTGAAGAACAGTAAAAGTGCCGCTTTGAAACCCAAGAAACACACCGCCTATACAAAGACACAGGTTGGCATAGGTTTTTTTTAAAATTTTATTTAATACAGTATAACTTTAATCACTAGTCATACGAATGATAAACAGGTTATAACAGAACAAATATAAAATTAATGTAGATAATTGTATAATCCTAGCTAATCGTATGAAAACAGCTGTTGAATAATAGAAAAATAAAATAGCGCACATTTGTGTTCATCATTGAAAGGAAAAGTCTACAAAAAAAAAAAAAGTACACACAAGGATGGTAGACAGAAAAAAACAAAACAAACTTCACTACAAGCAAATTCAATATGAATTCTGTAGCAAAGAACACCCCCCCCCCCTTCCCTGGCCCCAACGCATAAACATAAGTTTTTGTACATGTACTCAATAATAATAATAAAATAATAATAATAATAATGGCAAGATACTGGGACCAAATGAAAGCACAGATTACATCCAGTCTGGAGAACTGAAAGCAACAATAATAATGAAAATTATATTTAAGTTTCTGATGCTCACATGGCCCAGAAGGACTTCATAAGGTGTAGGCACAGATTTGTGCTTGGTTCAACTATTCTACCCTCGCTGTCTGGTTTTCCCAGTAAAAATCAGCTCGGTTTGTCCCAGTAAAGCACTATGCAGATTTGTATTCATTTTACAGTAAATTGTTTATATTTAAGCATCACTAAATTTACAATAACAATCAAGTTATCCCAGCATCACGTGTAGAGCAAAATAATTACGTTTTTCCTCTTCCAATCCCGTTGCCATAATGACCAATCTCAGAGCATGTTGGGAATAGTTATTTCAAAGTGCTAAGACATGTTTTTGTTTTTGTTTTTTAAAAAGAAAAAAAGTATTGCACTACTCATGAGGTCTTAACTGATGTACAGATGCATGCTTAAATGGCATAGTAACTGCAGCATGGGCTGCTCTAAGCAAGTGTGTGAGGATGCATGTGGGGGGCTTAGGAATACATTCCCACAATAACGAAAGCTCAATGGCCCATCTCACTATAAGCAAAGCTGCCATGACTCCATATTTAGCAGAAAGGGTCCTTCTGCTAAATATCAAGGGGGGAAAAACAAGAAGAAGAAAAAAAAAAAAAGGCACGATCATGGACTGAAATGAATGATGCCATTTGGGATTTGAGAGGATTCATTTTGGATGTGCTTTACTTATTTGGGCTGGAGGAGAATACATTGATGGAATGAAACTGCTTCTATCCTGACTGTGGTTTCACTTTGTGTTTGGTATGACACTCCTGAGACTATGCAAAAGTAGTTCGTACCATCCATTGCCGTTTTCACCTACGACGTCTGCAGCCAAATCGGTCATTAGTCGGTCTTCAGCCTGCCGGCTCCCAATTAGAAAGTCAGTGAAAAAGCATAATCAGTTTTCCCGCTGCATCTGCCTAAAGCACGCTCTGCATGCCTAAACCGCAGTTCCAGTGGTATAAGCCCCCCCCCCCCTCAGGTCTACACGTGAGAAAGGACAGTGGTGGAAAAATATCCCAATCTGACTCTCCCAAAGCTCAAACATTTATCACGACACACCGTTACTCAACATAGACACGCTTCCAAAGTGAACAGCCATGGTAATGGTTCAAGCAATTTTACCCCAATTTTTCCCAACCGCACTGAGAACAATTTGTCCAAGAACACATGAAACAAGATGGCAGCCACAGTTCCGTCTCATCCGAGGTGGCATTTATTATGGCAAAGAAACACTTGTGAAACACTACAGCAGCAGTTAAGGAAAATGAAAGAGCAGTTTTTTGGACTGTATGTCCATGTTAAAAGGTTCAATGGGATAAACTACTTTTGGGAAAAGAAAAAAAAGAAAAAAAAAAAAAGATCTTGGACCTGATCTCACGCATGTAACACCACTGTGCTGCGCTGAGCAGTTTCTCCACAATGACGTGCATTTTTGGAGACATGTTCAGCAAATAAACAAAAACGTCACATTGCCAGAAACGTCATCATTAAAAACACTATGTCAACAATCAAGCCTTTTATCACAGTCTTGGTCTGCCAAAAAGCTATGGCCTAGTTTTTATTTTTATCTTTTGTAAAGACAGCATCTGTGAGGAAGTTACAGTTCCTGGGCTAACTGATCACAAAACATGGCTTGGAGCTAACAGACTTGACTGCAGGAATCACAGGGCTCATGGACTGGTTTGGAAGGTCATGGCTGAAGTTCACTGATTGGCTGGGATGAGGCCCTGTCTTTGGGCGTGTTCCAAAATGGCATTGTAGCAGAAGTAGTACTGGTCTGGGGTTTGAATGCTGAAGGCCCTCTGTGTTCTCATGCGGTGCACTGTCTGGCACACGTTAAGTGAGCCTACGTCCTGTAGCTGGGACAGACAGATGTCCAGGGCACAGAAGGTACCTGCCAACAACAGCGGGTTAGTGGCAACACTTTAAGATTACAGACAATGAAACACTATCATGTTGGTTAAAAGCCTTATTCTCATACAGTCTGATAAACATACTCATTCAGGAAAACAGAATATTCAGGTTACTCTTTGCAGGAAGTTGCTGTACCAAAAAACCTCCTTGTGATTCTTTTGGCTGCTAGCAGACTGCTGCAGCGACTCACAGTCTGCATCATCATGCAAACTTCTCTGAAAATACTTTGCAACTGCTTGCTCAGTGGTAAGAAATTTTGAAGCCATGCAACGCAAACTAGAAACAGAAGGTTTCCCATCAGAGTAAAAGTTGTGGTTTAGCATTGGGTCAACACCTTTCAAAAGGCATGACTTATTTTGGAGACAAACCCTCTCTGTATGAGGGTCTGCAGACAGGTAGTCAAATCAGGGCCAACCACAACAATCTGCTAGTTACCAAAGTAAGGAGAATTTTTGGTGCAGTACTCACTGTGTGGCTAGTTCACATACTAACAGCCAGCAACCAGTCTCCAACCACTCAGGGAATATAGATTTTGTTTGCGCAACCTGTGGTTGGTGATGGGTTGCTAAGACTGTGTGACTGAGGCCTTAAAGCACAAGCACACCCATCGTGTTGGTCACTTTACATGCATCTATTCATGCAAGCCATGAAGATGCAGGTACCTGCTACAGTATTCTCACCACTAAAGCAATCTTGCATCTTTTCAAATGAAAAGATGCAAGATTTGTTGCTCCATCTAGCTCTGTATAATCTGTGAACGTGAGCTTCTGGATGACTAGATCATTAAAATAGTGGTAAAAACTGACAGGAACAACACTTGTGTTGCTGTCGCTGCAGCTGCAGCGACAGCAGACAACTTTGCTGTTGGGTGCAGTTTGTGAGGCACTGCACGGCGGGTATAAAACGGCCCGAAGCCCTAGAAGAAGGTTTTTATCCCTGCATCTCACCTGTTCTCCCAATCCCTGCACTACAGTGGACCACCATTGGCGGTCCCAGCGGGTGGCCTGTCCACTGAGATCCCAGAGCCTTGACCATTTTTCTCTGTTGTCTCTTCACAGCTCCCAGGAAGTCAATCAGAGTCACTGCTGAGGTGGGGACGCCATAGTCGGGCCAGCTGAGGTACTGGAAATGACTCACTTGTCTCTGTTCACATGTCTGAATACACAAATAAAATTTTACAGGTTATACGCTTTATGATAGAAAATATGTACGACAGAAAATGCATTCTGCTTTTTAAAAACCGTTCAACTGAACCAGGGAGTGGAGTACTTTGAACATTTTAGGGAACGCAAAGAATATGATGAGGATATCAATCCCACTCTGTTACTGGTGCTTTTCAGGCAATGCCAGATATTTTTTGGCTGCAACATTAAGCAAAATGTTTTTTCTCACCTCAGTGTTGTGCAGTTCAAGAGTGGTGTGGTTGTAGTGGCTGTGGCGGTCCACCCTCTGGTTCACTACTGCTATGTGGCCATAGACCTCCTGTCCACCTTCCTCCAGAGGCCAGTACTGCCCACACTTTCTCCGACTGCCTTCGTCGGTCCTGCGACAGAGGGTCAGGACGTATTTGACAAAATTAACACAGATTCAACTTCTAAAAATCAAAACAGATACTTTTAGTTCATCAACTCCATTACCTGGTTGTCATGACAATAACAAGGACATTTTGTTCCCAAACCATCCTCCAGAAATCACCGTAGGTCCTGTCTAGTGGTCCTGCACAATACAAACACCAAAGTCGAAGCAAATCAAAAGTACGGTGAGTAAAAATAAATAAAATTAAAATCCCAGCGTAATGAGTCATACTCATTTAACTGCATGGAGTAGCTCCTTAATGAGATACATTAACCCACAATAAAGACAAACATTCAGCTCATTGTGTAAGACTGCCAAATAATTTTGGTGGTCTTAGCAGTCGTTTCTGAATCATTGAATTACAGCAGTGAAATGTCTTCAGAAATCAGGATGACATGATCATTTCTGAAAATAAACAGATTAACTTTGGGCATTTATACGAGAACTGGTCTTCATACAGTCAGCAACTGTTAGTCCCAGAAGTGAGCAAAGGTTTTCCCAGCATTCTCAGAGGTGACGGCGTATTTATGGACACAAGCTTAAGTAAAATACTACAGAGGTCTTCAGGTGCACGGTCATTAGTGTTACTGTTCTTCCCACTGATCTTACAAATGTTCCTGGAAGCCTAGGGATTCCTGTAGTGAGAGAAGAAATGTTGCACTGCAAGTAAAGTTTTGTGCAAGGTTGGGTGTTGAGCGCGTTTTGGTACATGTTGCAAAACCATCAGAAACTGGTCGTATCAGTGCATGAGTGATTATTCTCACTCCCAGCTGTTCAAATACAATTCTACCTGAACTACAGTGTTAAAAAGAAATTAAGAAAGGAGGAACACACTGAAAACACATGAGATCTTAATGTGGGGAAAAAAAACAACAACTCTGTACTGTGTTAGGAATGAAAGGGTGCTACATCATTGGCTGGAAATGATAATCTACAGAGGGCTGAATTCTAAGAAACCCTGGAGAGAAAAAAAGAAAACAAAAAACCCCAAACGAAAAACGTGATACAGTGTTGATACAGCAGCTCAAGAGTACTCAGTAGTTTGTATGGCCTCCATGTGATTCTATGCATGCCTGATGACATCAGGTACTCACCACCAAACCAGTCACGGTGAACGATATTACAGGCAGCACAACATTCTCACATTCTCCACACCCTTTCATGTTTGTCACATGTGTTCAGGGTGAACATGCCTTGATCTGTAAAAAAGCATGGGGTGTGATGGACCTGCCAATTCTGGTATTCTGTGGTAAATGCCAATCGGGTTCCACGGTGCTATGCACCTGTCAGGCTCTTATAGCGCCCTCATGATGTCTGTTTCTGATTGTTTGGTCAGACATGTTCACACCAGTGGCCTACGTGAGGTCCTTCTTTAATCACCAAGGGGCAGATACCAGTTCTGATGGGTTAAAGGCCTTCTTCAGCCCTGTCCAGCTCTCCTAGAGTATCTAGCCGTCTCCTGGAATCATCTCCGTGCTATTGAAACTGTGCTGGGGGACACAAACCTTCTGGCAATGGCACACATTGATGTGGAATCCTGGAGGAGCTGGACTACCTGTGCAACCTCTGTAGGGTTCAGGCATCACCTCATGTTACCAGCAGAGACACTGACAATGCTTTGAGCAGTGTACATACCTCCTAGTAACATTTTTCTCCTTGTACCTTTAAGTGTTTATATAAAACCTTACTCCAGAAGAGTTCAATTAATCAGAAATCTGCAGTAACTTACTGTAGAGTAATTAGAAATACACCTTTGAAAGTATTAACTTCTGTTATTATAATATTTATTTTATTGGGCAACAAACTGTCCACCTCAGCTTACTGCCACTGTCCACCTATATGCTTCAGTTACATTTATTGCCATTTATGACACAGCAGTGGTAGTAACAGTGCCCACTTAGACTGATGACCAAATGTCCTCATTTAAAAAGGTTCCTTTGTAGTCACACACTTATTTGGCTGTAGGGTCCACTTAACATTACTGATGATATCATATTAACAGGACTGCAGTGTTATGCCACTGGCATAACACTGCAAAACAGTCCTTTTAAATAAATTAACTTGTCGTACCTTGAGTACCAATGTAGGCATTCTTCTGTTTGTAGCCGTCCATGAAACTCGCATTGATGTAGTCTGATCTCTGTGAGAGCAACAAAACTCAGTCACAAAAGGTCAACAGAATGCCAAACACATCATGTCAGTTCAATTGTCGGAGCATTAGAGACTTTAGAGGAGAAAATCCAACAGTTTGGTTACACGTTTGCTTTATAAGCTGAGTACTGGGAGTGCAGTAGCCAGTTAGAAGTTTTAAGCTTGACAGCTAAGAGTGACCATGAATGGAACTGATCAAATGAAATGCACATTTTTTAAAACAGCATTTACCTCATTCTTTCTGGGTTTCAAACGAACTCTCGTCTGATCAAGGCACAACACGTCGCCGTAGCGATTCTTCTCCTGATTGTAGGCTGCTCTGTAGACAAAACAAAAGTTTAATGCTGCCGCCCAATGCGGTTTACAATTACAATAACAGTCGACACACACTGAACTAAAGTTTTGCTTTTCTGGTCATGTGCTACTTAGTTACATGTGACATTGAAGTGAGGTCTATAATTTATAGAAGACTTGAAGAATTTATAGAAAACTAGAGGCTAAGTATGCAAAATGAGGAAAAAGATGCAGTCACCAAGCACAGCTATACATTCCACTTTATAAATGCCAATAAGGAACAAAACAAAACATTCTGAAAATATTAGAAAGGTCATCTATTGAAGTCGGGGTTAAAGGACATGCTGTGGAATAGATTACATTACAATGCTACTAATTTTTGTCCTTCCCAGAATGCACGCTGCACCTACAGCATAAAAAGATTACAGGTATTAATAAACTAATCTTTCTGGCAGCTCTGCTCAGCCAGACAGAATCAGATTTTAAAGTGAGCACTGAATGTGCGCCTGCTGCTCTAAACTCACTGTGCACAGTGGAAGGTTCCGGGTGGTGCTTCTTTGCGTAGCTCCTCATACTCCTGATGGATGCCCGAGCGCTGTAGCCTGCCGAGGTGCGTCAGCAGCTCCTGCGGGCGCATGGACTCTGGTCCGGGGACGTGAATGGAGGCATCTTCAAAGGGGATGCCCACCAATTCATCCACAGGGTCTATTCTGCCATTCTGGCCCGCCAGTAGCTGCTGGTTCCAGCTGTACGCGTCCAGAGGCAGCAGGCCACCAAGGTGCTGAGGCAGACAGTCTCTGGGGAGGTGCTGGCGCAGCTCGGCCATTTTTACCATCTGAACCTGGAGTTAGGAGAGACATAGACTGAGATGGATTTGTTTTTACCCGCAAAGAAAACGGCATAAAAGGTCAAAGGCACTCTGCCCGTGAGTTTAACCTGTTAGCACTACCATATCTTGAAGGCAGACTACAATAACTGGATCTCATATAGGGGTTTGTGCACTTTACATAAATGTGAAAATGCTGCAGTCTTTCTACAGCTGGCATGCAAATACTTGTGTCATCTCACTCAGTTAGGAACCTGCGTATGGGGCTGGGTATCGTCACTGATTTCTAGAATCGATTCCATTCCGATTCACAAGGTCCTGAATCGATTCGATTCAATTCGATTTGAATCTGGGAAATTTTGCCTCAGACAGTCAGAAATATTATAATTCAGATCAGCACATTTACATATTTTTGTATCTATAAAAAGGAAGCTGACACTCGCAAGACTTTATCAAAGGTGTGAGCGTCACAGCAGATGCCTTTGTGTCAAAGTAGCTGAAGATAAAACACAGAAAAAACATGAAGGTGATTTTCCTGGCCTGGGATTTTATTAAAATATTCTGCAGTACATCAAAAACGAAAGAAAACCATTAATTAATGAACATTACCTCTGAAGTTACAGCGGTTTTATTAGAGACACGGCTATGCATTTTGTATAATTTTAAAAAGTTTTAATTTGTTCAGAAGCCTGTTGAACAGCAGAAATTAGGTTTTCTTTTCGGAAGTAAAAGGAAAAAAAAGAAAAAAAAAAAAGATCGGCCGACAGCGCTGTAAATAACGGTTGTCTTGTGCGTAACAAGCAAGTGAATAATGCAGAAAACAGATTTCGGGGATAGACGGGAAACTGTTCTTGAAGTACACTGAGAAAGAGAGAGAGAGAGCTGTGCATGAAGGGTGATTTTATTGTGGTGGAAGCAAAACAGCAAAAGTCAGAGGGACGATGTTTATATGAAGCTTAGTTTGGATCTTCTTTTGCTGCTGGTTCGGTCAATATTGTTTGGACAGAGATCAAACTAACAGCTTTAGAATCAGCGCAAAAAGGGCGTGAACACAAAGCACGGACTGACGAAACAGAATCAGCGAGCTGTCGGCTTTCAGCCCCGACCGTGTCCGTGCCGTCAGGTGAGAAAGGCGACATCTCACCGATTCTGATCCGCGGGTCTGCGCTGTGTGTTTACGTCTTTGTGCAGAAGCCGTGTACCTGCTCTCATTTACTGTTTTAAATGTTTGGTGGTTGTCAAAATTTTGTGATGTTTCACCAGAGATTCTGGCATTTTGGGCAAAATACATTTATATAAAAAAACGATTCAGGATTTTAATGAATCTATATCACGTTATCCAAGCCAGAATCGATTTTAATCGATGAATCGATTATTAAAACCCACCCCTACCTGCGTATGTAAAATTGACTTCATGATATGGAACCAATTTTAAAAAAGCAACAGGATACCATTTGTTTTAAGCCTGCTTTATCCTAAATATCAGTTTTTCTCCTACTCTTGGCATAAAAATAAATACATCCCGTGCACAGTGGCTCTTAAGAAATCCATGCTAATAAAATAATGACTGGTAATAATGTAGGAGGTATCCTGACTCCAGTGATTCAACATCTCAAGCATGTGTGAGGCAGGAGGATAAGCAGTTAAAGAATCTCATAATCACAGAGCACAGTTGGTACACCGAATCACTCACTGCCTGCCATTTGAGGAGGGAAAAAAAAAGAAACAAAACAAAAAAACAACAACCAAAAAACGAAGCTTTTGCCTTCCCTTACTTAATAAATTATCATAAAAATGAAGCTGAAGAGCTACTTTGAGAAGTAGTCAAAACATTTACCCTCTCCCTCAGTTTCTCCTTGAGAAGCAGGCTGAGCAGATTGTAGGGCACTCGAAACCACACCGGGGCACCTACGATCAGCACCTTCTTCAGCCTGGCAGGGAATGCCCCCTGGTGGACAAAGATGGTAAATTACAGTAAACCAAATTCTTTGTTTAGAACTCACATTTTAAACTTTATGATTATATTTATTAATATATTGTAAATTAAGGGGCAACCTCTCCTGTGTTTAGAGTGTAAACACAGGAGATAGTGCCAAGTTTATCTTATGGTACTTGTGCATCTAGGTATTAAGTACACAGTATGTGTACTGTATGTGACTGAGGACAACAGCTGCTCCCGAGAGATCAATATGTGGGCACAGAATACATCCCGCTGCTGCTGATGTGACCACATAATAGTCCGTGCTATTGACTCCAGCGGACATACTGCTACATGTTTAAAGTGTAACTCACTTAAATGCAGGCAATTGCAAAAATAAGTACCACTGCCACTGCATATGGATTAAGTAATACTTTAAAGGCTATCAACTCACACAGTGAGCCACTCATTTGCCTTTTTGGACATTTACTTAAGTCCTGGAAGACAAAACATCCATAAATAAAATCAGATTACTACTTTCTAAGATGGAAATAAATGTGCAGTTAGCCGTTACTCTAGCCCTGGAAAGGAATGAAGACTTTCAGCTCCTTTAGATCAATGAAAGTACTGTTTACATCTGGTCCTGTGAATAATCCGAGCATGTGCATCTCATTTTTGATGTTTACAGCACCTATTCACTATACTGCACTGAAATCCCAAACCTTGAGCAAGTTGAGAATCTTCTTGCTGAGGTCCAGCTCAAAGTTTGTGTAGTTGGAGCCTGCCATGTCATAGATGAACACTAAGCCATTCCTCTGAGTCTCGAAGCTGTGACACAAAAACAAAAAGGAAAAAAATCCGGGTTTTGATATCTTCATTAGGTCATTTAACTACTACCCGTGCTGTCAAGTGGAACTTATTCCCCACACGGCAGATAAATGTCATTTTGGGGAAGACTTAAACAAGTTCCAGTAAGACTGTCTTTTCATGTACAAAATTTGAGTCATAGGATTCCTTCAAAGAAAAGAAACTTTCACTGAAATAAAGCGAGTGATGTGTTTAGTAAGACGTTTAAAGGCTACAATGCCACACTATGCAGTATTTCAAGGAAAAACAAATACCCAGTACTTTACCCGACACTCTCACCAAAAATTAAAAACAAAATGTGACCGTTTTGTTGCAGCTTCATTCACTGAAATCCATGTTCCTCACCTTTCCACAGCCCGATCCAGGAGGTAGAAGAGGGCCTGAAGCACCACATGGTTGCCTGTCTTGTTGGGGTGATGCAGTTTGGCTGTGTACAAGGCGATGGAGGCCCCTGAAGGGTCTCGTACACTCTGAAAATACACAAGCACACAATACTGGCAGGTTATCATTCAGCAGAGCAAAAGCAGTTTGTCACAATTTTCCAGGCAACTGCTGCCCCCCACCCCCCCCACCCTGTACTGAATCGGGGATTGTTTATTAGTACTGGGTTCATTCTGTATTGTTTAATGTGGAGTTATGAGCAAGGCGGCAGAAAATAAGCAAGATGGACACACACACATAGAAATACCAGCCTTATTCTGAATATCTTTATATCTAGCATTCAAGTGTCTCAAATGCATGAATTATGATGCCATTCTTAGAAACTGTGTGGTTTCCGAAGGAGTTTACTAGAGCTAAGTGTGACAACAACACCCAAACAGAAGTGCAAAAAGAAAGAATGGAAAAAGAAAAATGACCACAGGGGGGCACTTTGGTTCACATGCTGGCTGGTTGCCAGCTCAGAGAAAGGGCTGTCAACAGTTCAACAGAATGAACAATTGTTGTCATTACTGCTGCCGCGGGTCTTGGATCTCTTCATATTCTTCCTGGGGTAAAGACAGAATGCATTTTCTGAGCCAAAGCTGAACTGTGCTGAGAATGGGGGTGCCCGGGGAACCGAGGCTCTTCACTCGAGTGGAGCTGGTGACCAGAGATCCTCTGGAAAAAGCTCCTTTGTAAGTAAATAAGCCTGTATTCTCTGGCACGAGGGCTAAAAATACACCAGACAGGATGTGAAGCCCGCTGCCGAGGCTGGAGAACTCCGACGTCAGGCGAGAGGATGTGTAGCATCAATGCCGCTGTGGCACGTCAGCGGGGAAGGAAAAAAAGGGAAATGCGGGAAAATGGGAATGTGTGTGTGCGCGCGTGTGATTGCATGTGTGTGCGGTGGAAGTCGGCATCTTTAACGGTCACAATTTGGCTGACAAAAGGCCAGGAAACACACTTGGAACGTCAACAAATAGCCTGCACCCCAAAAAGCACATCAGGATGAGGGCTTAGTTTTTGAACATTCAATCTAAGGAATGAAGTAAAGTCATTGTTACTGTTGTTAACGCAGCAGCATTAGAAGCCTGATGAAAAGACACACAAACACTAAACGTCACTGGAATCACTGGGATGAGGTACGTTGTAGAAATTGACTAAACATATACACGCACAATATTAATACACAACATTTCCACGTGGGCACGTTACACATTACACCTTGAATGAATCTAAAAATGTGGAGGATATTTCAGGAACGCACTTACCAACACAGTGAACTTTCCACTGAGCAGCTCGGACCGCAGAGGCTCCTCCTGAGGCTGAAGTCTGACAATTCCTTCTTTAAGACGCGTTTCCTGGAGAAAACAGATCACAGCAGGTGAAGGCAAGCTGTGGGGCAGCTCTAACAGGCCGTCACTTTGAGGTGAATTCCTTTCTGAACAATAGTGAATCACCTGCCTGGCTTTCCTGCCGGGAGGATTCCTCTCTGCTAGCCCCCCCCTTCCACTTTCTGTGGAAAGTCTTAAACTTCAGCTTAGGCGTGTCTTTTCAATTATAGTTGATCTTACAGACTCATTGTGAACAATATTAAACTAGAGATACTTTGAGTTCCCGCTGTTGAAATTGGCCAAATTAAAACGCCTCCTTTAGTTTTAAATGAAGCTTTTCTACAGATTGACGGGAACTGCTGCAGCTCACGATTTCTCTGCAACCCTTTTATTCCTTTTAAGACTGTAAGCACTCGGGTCTTAATGGTAACGGATGTACAGATTCAGACTTCACTAGACTGCCATTACTCCATGAAATACGTCAGAAGGAAACTGTAGAGTTACATATTAGAACACTCCCTTTCCACAAAAAGCATTCTTGGTTAAACCGTACAGCTTTCCTGAAGTGCTTACTTGCCACTCTAAAGATGATTGAAGATTTATTTATTTATAATTATTTATATAGCACCAACAACAACAGTTGCTTCATGGTCTTTATACTTTAAGGTAAACACTTTAATTATACAGAGAAAATCCCAACAATCAGACAAACCCCTATGAGCAAGCACTTGGCAACAGTGGGAAGGAAAAACTCCCTTTTAACAGAAGAAACCTCCAACAGAGACAGACTCAG